GCCGATCAGCGAAGCATGAATTGGGTGGTATCCGTTAGCTTATTAGTTTGGCCACCTTTTGCAATGATACATGGTTGCTATACCCTTCCATTTGATTGATTCCAAGTTCAAGGTCCGAATGAGTTGGTAGATGAGCATACCTGACGAACGACAACGAAAGTGAAATTTGAGTCTAGTGTTTCTCTGGTGTATAGTTGACTGGATAGTCTGAAGATGAAATTTGAACGACGAATTCAATAAGTGTTTTTTCAAACAGAACTACCTGATCAGCGAATATTTGGGAGAAGCTGATTTATTGAATCTGTCCAATGATTGCTATTTTTTCTGTGGAAATGATTGCTGATTGTTTGAAAACTGCGATTTTCTGTTCTTCACCTTCTCCTTTGTTTTCTTTACACAATCCGATCGCGGCCTCAAACCAATTCATCATGTAATTGAACAAAGTTTTGCNTTTTGCTACTGTGTTGTAGTCTCGTTCAAACAGGGGACCACAATTGATTCATTCCACGGTTGTGTGTGCTGAATAACTGTTTTCCTTTGTACAAACCTCACTTGATCTCCAGTCCCTGTTTCGTGATTTTCTGTTGCACAATTCACGGTCTCATTCCTGAGTATAAACTGGGCATTTATTCAATGTCTCGTATTAAAACTAAATGACTGTCCTCATACTTATATTAATCGTAAAAAGAGGGAGTGCAGTAATTAACAATACTTTTTACTTCTGGCTGTTTGGATGCACATCGTCAATTTATCCATATTCAATGACCAACAATGCTGTGAAACTGAGTTTGGCTTTGGCACGATGCGAACACCATCTGCCCGCGATTGGTTGTCCTCTTACACCGTCCGATCATTGTCTCCTTAATTTATCCACCTCATAGGGCTGTTTCCAGCTCTACACAATGCTGTCCGTACCATCTGCTTTGCAACAAAGTCTTAGTTAAAATTACCAATTCCCTGTCATAGCTTATCTATTTTGTAAATCATTTGATCTAACCTTGTGATCGTAATCATTTTCGTCCCTGTTCGTCGATAGTTAAGACTTCTGTTGGTTTGCTTATTCAATTGCCAAAGACCTGTCGCAACACGTGTCCCCATTGGTTTCATCTCATTTCATCCATGATACGCAGATTTTCTCGGGCTTTCCCGTCACCCTTTGTCCTTTTCGACCGGTTCAAGTTGCGTCTGTTGTCCTGTGTCACGTGTTTGTATTCGTGTGTGTACTTTATAGTCGTCCTTCAATGCAGTGGGGAATCATGCATAGACCTGCGCGCTTCGTACAGTTTCGCGACACACGCACCGATCTCACCCCATATATTTCAATGTAAATTCAAACAAAATACCTAGTTAACTCTATCCTAACTCACACAAATCGTTGTAATCACGTGGCTGTGTACTTGCCCCCCTAAACGATGTTGATCCTTCGGGAAACAGCATTGTTGGCTATCTGTATATGCTGTGAGATCTTACGCGTGTACCGTTTTTACGCTCGTTCCAAACGGTTCAACTACAGCACGCTGTCGTGATTCCCGTTCAAGTCTGTGCCCCTCCCTCTCCATGGTGGTAAGCTCTTGTTCACGCACAATCCGGATATAACGGCATCCAAACACGAGATTGAAATATCGAGTCTTTCGCTTAGTTTTATTTTTTAGACGAGACGCAACATAAAGTTACTCCTTGATTGAACTCATTTAATCCAGATACCTTATTAGTATTTTCGTTCTTAAGTTCGTCGAATTTCCCAGATTGCTCCATTTGAAAAATCAAAATTTCGTTTTTGCAGATTCCCTTGTGAGTATTGGTAATAACAGAGAGGGATTTGACTGATCCTTGCATGTCCCGAACACTTAGTTTATGTTGGTGCTAAACACTGAATTTTCTTCGAATTTAATATCGCTGTTTCTCACGCTGATCTGTTTCATATCCCGGTTTCTTGTTCCTCTCGCCCTCTTCTGCGCGCTCCTTGTGTTGCGCCCTTCAGACTCGTTTCTGACAACACGCAGTTACACAGACAATGAATCTACCCGGATGATCAAAACACAATTTATGGCCCTCTGGGACGGTTTGCTCACTGATGAGTGCTCTCGAATTTTGGTTGTTGGTGCAACGAATCGCCCGGATGATTTGGATCAGGCCATTCTTCGTCGTCTCCCTTACAAGGTAGTTTTGCTCCCCTTTCATTCACCGAGTACTCGTTTACTGTCAGTCTCTCACTTCTGATAGAAAAGCTGATTATGTCACTTCTCCGTCTCTCATCTCCAGGCAGTGATTCCATTTACTTTTTTCTTTTTCATTCTGATTTCGTCTTATTGAATATACAATGATACAGCTTTCAGGAAGGGGAAGCGGCCAATCAGAGAGCTGTCATGCAACATACAAATGGGTTAAGTCAGGCGGTGGTGGTGGGATTCAAACACACGTCCTCCGGGGTGATCATTTGATGACGCTACCACCGGGCCACCACCGCCTTGTATATGTTCACTCTTTTGCAATGCTAAACTAAAATTACCAATGTCTCGTGGGTTGACCGCCCACGAGTTGAAACTCGATTATAGATCGGTATATATTGCTATCCCTCCTAAATTTCGGTTCTTCGTATCGTACGTTGCGCTCATATCTGAGTGTCATATGTAAGCTGGAGTGATTATTCATTTGCTCGATCAAAATTGACCTCACAAATGCACACCATTCACTTTTCCTTTTCTTATCAATTGTATTGAGCACCCGGTGTATTCCTTGAGATGTATCATCCAGTATTAAATTTACTGAATTAGGCGATTCAATGCCAGTCAGTTAGGATATGTAGTATTTTCTAGTCTATGGTTAAGTTTTCTCCATCCCTCCAGATTTGAACCATTTCGCACCGGCTTATAAAACTGCCACATTGTAACACTGTCATTTTGGCCAAATGCATCTCATCTATTTTCGCTCCACAGTTCGTCGCAGGTACAGACCTGTCAGACGGAATAATTTTCTCATAGTTTCAATGCTTATGGTCAATGTTTCGAAACAGAATAATTCATGGTGTCAGCTTGATTAGTGAGTGATGTATCATGCGAGCTTATTGGTTGTTGTTGGTTGTCTCGAGCCCCATGGATTTTCACATTCCAGTGAGCATCTGTCCTTTATACACCACCCAACCCCTCGCTTTCCTCCAGGGATTATGCTCAATTCCCTACAACCAACTGAAAGCATTACACAATTGGTGCCCTTCATTGTGTCCATTGTCCGAAATGGGGTCTATCAATCCGGGCTCAGCATCAAATGCTCCCCTCCCCCCGCCCCCACTAGGCCGTCAGTTACAAACAGAGAGAGAGGGAGAGGAATTGGGTTAGATTATCTATCTGTCTCTTCCAGTCGAAGTAGTTTTCGGGTTTGTGTTGAGTACTGAACTTTACCATTGATTGACATTTTTTGTGGTACCCTCGAAGCGAATTCGGTGCGCGTATATTTTTCGCCAATTCGATTCACTTACGATGCAGCTAGATCTGTCTTCGTTCTGTTCTGTTATTTTTTGGCCGAAATACTACACCTGTACCGTTAGCTGTTGTTGAAAAATAACCTCTCGTCAAACCTGGTCTCATTCATGCTGTTCTTACGGTCTGCAACCTAACACGAAAGGATAACTGAAAGTACTTAGGATACTTTTTTAAATCAGATACATAAGACAAGTAGGCCAGAATAGGGATTCGGACTTCCAACACGAAAGTTGACTGTTCGAGTCTCTTAGTAGACAGAGCAATTAGTACATATTGCCAAATTGGACTCCCCACAATGGCGAAGCAGCTCCTAAGTACCGTTTGTTGGTCATTATACGCAAAGTTAAATCACAGTGCCGTGTTTAAAAACCAATGTACTTTCAAGAAATGAGATCCACGCAAGGACACAAACACCGCCCCCGATAATATTTGGCTACTCTTAGCCAAGCCTGGAATTTTGAAGTCCTAAATAGTGTCCCAGTAGCTAGTCAGAAATCCGAATATTAATTAGAGGACTCAGTCAAACGTTTAAAATCTTTACACCTTTCTTCCATATCGTAAATTGTTTATACTTAATTGTTTTCTCACTGTTATCTCACATATTAAACACATCTCTGTGTAGAGCTGCATGCAGAACGCGTGTTCTCAACCCACCCGCCTTGATCCCGATTCCGTAGCACTTTCGTTTTACGCAAAGTAGTATCAGCACCGGTGGATACGTTTACCAACCTAGATGGTTGGGTTTTCATGTGCATATACACTACAATTGTGTCTTAGACTGCCCTGAAATGACTATAACTCACTCGAAATTGCGTGCAATTTTCATATACGTTCAGGAATAGAGAGGAATAACGCGCGCATTGTCGCCACTCATAATTTAGTGAAAATTAAGAATAATCAGTCGGATCTTCAAAGAATGACTGGTGCGAGTGGACTGAAGTAATTTCATTTCTAAACTCCAGACCTATTTAGCTGATAAACACCCCCCTACTGGAGGGAAGACGGATACAATCGGATAATTCAACTTTGTGCACGGGCTAGTAGCAATATTACCGTTCTCCCAAAATTACCCCTTAGGGTCTCGGAGTCTACACTCCTCTTTTCACAGACAATCGAATGTCGCGGCAGCGGCCTAGAGGTCTCAAGTTGGCAATCGCCAACCCAGACCTGTCGCTCGATTTGGGTGACATGTAACTGCGGGAAAATTGGCCCTCGTTCCCTTTTGCTGCCCTGTTAACGTTTATTTGATAGCCGGATCAACCCAATCCTGCAACGTCGCTTCACACTTTGAAGATGCGAATCGCATACTGAGCATAACTGCTCTAACACTCAAAACATCCGGACAAGCTCGCAAGCTACCCGGAGAACTATGAGACAATTGACCTAATGTGCACAGCATTCACTTATCACAGTGCATGCATTGGTTGTTTGTCAGCTTCTCTAGTCTCTTGGTTCACGAGTCGAGTATATAGGGGTTAGTTTTGTTATTTAGCTGATGAAGTTATTGGGTCCGAAAAACGATACCTTCTATAACTACTCATCTCATAGGATGTTTGACATATAACCCTGACGTATGGATTCCATTCCTTATTCATCAACTAACCGATTGAGTACTCAGACTTTTCATTTTTGTGAAGTTTTCCGGTGAACGTGAATGTTTTTTTCCTGTCACCAGTTCTGCCCATTTCAATCTGGTTCATAAGTATTACTGATGACCTCAAAGATAGTTTTCGTAACGTATTTCACATTTACCTTATTTCCCTATAGCTTATGATATACATTCATGTGTCCATGCGAATTTACATATGTGCAGATGTTTTCACCCACCTCGATCATTACAAGGTTTTTTTCCAATTTGAGGTACTACATGCGTTCCCGCTCGTTGGGTTTCATCTCAATACTGAAAGCAATTAATTTCCCTTACTGTCCATCACACTCCATCCAGGTTGATTATCTAGCCCACACTATCCCGGATACATGTGGATTGTGTAACACACCCTCTGTATCATACCACAAACCCTATTCGTCTGTGTGTGGCGCAATGCGATCTGCGCTATATTCCTGTATGTTAAGGTCAATCAAACCTATCCATCACTCAGACTAACCCATGTAACTACCAGGCACTCGAGCACATGTCTGTCACTTTTTGCTTCATTCATGTTCAGGCGGGCTTGATCGTTAGAATATTTCTGAACAAACATTTACGCATCCCCTTCTCGCCCAGGCCGTCTCCTCCTTGAGTTTTGCTTCCATTTCGTAATATGATTTTTTTGTAGGATTTTAAATAGGATTTTCCGAAAGTCACACACGGCAATCAAATAGAAAATTGTTTATTGTACACTTATAGTGTAGTCCATTTAGGCTCTTCGATTAAGTCAGTCGAACACATTTTTATTACTCCTTAAAAAATACAGATATACAGTAAGGCAGACGAGTCACACGCGGCTCCGAAGATGGAAGTGTGGTACTATAGTGCAGGTGTGATGGCAGTACTTACCATCACCATGGTGAATTTGTGGTGTTAGAATACCAATATACACCTGTACCGGATGCCAACCAGGTACCGTTAACCGGTTCGCTTTTGTGATGGGAAACCAAACTTGTTGCATTCTAGAAATATATCAATCTCCACAAACAGCAGATTGACTACAATCCATTTGAATGACTTCACTCTGAAAATTTCACATTCCCTTTCCTCATCCACCACTGTTCGTCGTCAGGTTTCTGTCCCGATGCCCAATCAGGATCAGCGCGCGAAAATTCTGTCCATCTGTTTACGCGGTGAACCGTTGGCCCGGAGTCTCGGTGAAAATGATCTTCGCGAAATCGCTTCCCGTACTGATGGTCTGTCGGGTAGTGAACTACACGAACTTTGCCGTGAGGCAGCGTTTTGCTGCTACCGTCAAGAGTAAGTACGCGATGCTATATTTATCCTTTTTCTTTCATTCAGTTGCAAAAAGCATCGTCTGTTCCAATCAGAAGCTGTCAAACTAAAGTAGAGTTCGGACTATTCACTCATTAGTTCGACATATTGACCAGTAGATCTGTCCGAATACTCCCAATCTGACCATTGAATAGCAGTCTTGATAAGCTCTTAGTTGATTATCGCACCCACTGTTTTATATGCATTTGTTTACTGTCACAAGCGAGTTGTTCATAGTACATTTACTGGCTAACTTGCGTGTCTATGAGTCCTGTTTGTGGAGATGTTCTCTCTCGCCCGTCCGTGGCGTCACTTCGAGTTGATGATTCTACTGCGTCCCGCATTCAGTTCAATGGCCGGCCTCACCCATGCATGAACTATCTATCGGCTAAGATAATTTCCCTTTCTCTCCACCCGATCGATCAGCTGCTTTGGCTCCATTCCATTATTCTAACGCAGTTCACTCGTATTTTTTTCTGCCAGTTTTCGTAATAATCGTTGCTGTCACTACCTTCTGCAGGCACACATGCACAGTTTATCTTAATTCCTCTCCATCCACACAATCAAATGGATTTTATCCTGCTGCTAATCGTGTGAAAAATAAATGGTTCCTTGATTGGGAGGGATTAGCTTGAGTGAAATTCTCAATTCGCTTAATTATCCCGTTTCATTTGTCTCGTGAATGTCGAATCCCATCAGTCGCACTTATCTGTAGAGAACAACAGTTGGCCCGATTGAGAACGATTTTGCAGATCATTTGCGTCTCACACGTACGCGCATCAACCGACGTCTTTTGACAAGTGGGGATAAAAATCACTGTCCGTATATTTCCTTCCATAAACCTATACTAAAAATATTCAACAGTATAATTCCATGAAACTTTCTTACAAGATAAAAGCAACCGGTATGTTCATAATGGATGGGTCCCCATCAATCCGTGTGGTTTTTTTTCTATTTGCTTGTTATATTACGTATAGATAAACATGCTTGATGTTGCTGAGTATGATGATGCTGATTGGATTTTGGAAGGAAGAAAAACATTGTGTGCACGGTAGTAATTGGGTAGCTGGTCAAAAATTGACCAGTGACGTCAAATGATGAAAGATAGGAGAATCGGAGCCGCGCTTTGTGTTGTCGAAAGTATTGGAGCGGTGTGCACTCATAAGTGTTGAATAGTGTCCAGTCAGTAAACTGATAATCGATCCTCGTTTGGTCGATTGATACAATTTCGGTCGCCGTGAATGAACAGTCATTACGTATTCAGTTTTTTCTCTATGAGGTCCGAAACCTCGTTTTAGAATAGTCTATAGAATGTCCTTCAGCGATAGAATTTGGAGCAATAGCTAAGTCCCTCTCGAAGGAATTGCTTTTTTGCACATGACTGGAACTTCTATCACGTTCAGCTACGCGTTCTTTTATTTATCGCCTCATTTCCCCAGCGTATGTGGCTGTACATTTAATCTCAGATCAGTTTCGACCGATCAACTTGTTTCTTGGTTCATTGTTAACTACACTGGTCTATCTAGTTTCGGCTTTAATTCTCGAAGTAACTTCACTATCATAGCGTGTATCTTATTCCGGAATACCTGAGCTCATTTCCAGCAAGATCCCTTTATTACACGTCTGGAAAAACTTTATCATCTAAAAGAGGTTACAGTGAATCCACTTGAGTCATAAACCAAACAATGATTCGAGAACTTTATGGTTTAACCAAAATTCACCCAACAGATGTTCCCTAATAACCCATAATTGATGGAACAAATACTTTAATTGCGTTCTTTCAGACTACCTTTCAGGCATTTACAGCCATTAGAAAAACGTATTGAACAATATATAATTACCATTGAATTTTAAAATAAGCTGTGCTTTGACCTAAGATGATCAGTTGGATCTGATCTACAAGATCCATCCACATTCATTGGTCTGCTCGTTTGGATGAAATAATATGCAGAAGATCTAAAATGCTGAAAGTAGCACAAAGCTGGAGATAGAGGATTCAGGTAGACTAGTATTACAAAGAAACAGTAAATCCACGAGTTGGTTGATTGTTTCTTATCAGATATTTCCTGCTCTCCTTCAATGGTGGTTATGTAGCTTGTGTAATCGTACAGCTGCTACAGATGCTTGAAACTCGAAACTTAGTTTCACAAATTTCTAACATTATTTCACTTCTTAAGAGTGCATTCACCGACCCTATCTAGTATTGCCCAATTCGAGGAAACTTGATTTTGGTGTACCCTAATCATGCAGAATCCTGACCATCCATGTTGTTCACTGTTCACCTCATCACCCAACATTCACCTCAGGGGGGCTTTCATTCAAGTTAGTGGACCGGAAATGTCGACTAGAATGCCGGTATCATTCCCTTGCCCTCAGAGTGTATAGTATTTGGAATAACCTACTACGTTGTTTTTTCGCCCAAAATGTATTCTTTCAAACACAAACTGGATAAATCATTATCCCGTTTTAAATTTCGACAGCCGTACATGAAATAATGAAAATATGTAACATTCCTCAACTGTCTTTAATCGTTCAATCGATCCAGTAGTGTGGAAACCCCTGTGGGACAAGAAGTGAAACCACTTATAAGTATAGCCTGTAATAAAACATCAACTTTAAAACTTTGATCGCGCATTGTAGAAGAATGATAAGCTCACGATAAGCTCATTTACATCAGGGTCAAACCTCGACCGTTTCGCTGAGCCGAGTACCCCTTCTTAGGGTACTGAAATATGGAATTTCGTGATGAGCCATTTCTAGTTTTTAGAATTACGTTTAAGGTACTCGTTAAAGCGTGCTGGATTAGTTTATTGATGACGTATATTGGTATCGTTTGTGTACGAACCCCTTAGAATCCAGTTATCGTTGGGAGAAAGTGCATAGACCTTAGCCCTTTTGTGGTCCTATGGTCATACGTGTAATGTGAAGTCTTGCATTAAGTGCATTTGCGATGTCTCCACCCGCACCCGGATCGTACGTGGATCTGGAGAGTTGTATTCAAGCAGCATTGCATTTCCAAGATAGGTTTACTGATCTTTATTGACACAGTGCATTAGCGTCTACCTCTCACAGTAGTAGTAAACATTTAGCTGTTATGATTGTGTCGAAATTGCATGTGCATAGCTCCCAAATTCGGCTCTCTCCCTCTTCGATCTCGTGCTATGACTACCACACATTCCATCTTGGGTTGACAGATCGCATACTTGTCGAGCAAAACCACACGCGTCATCTGTATTGTGTTTGTATGTGTGTATGTTGGAACAATTCAGTTCACCACTTAGTACTATTTACAGACGTTCCATATTTCAACATCTCACACATTCGTAATGTAAACAAACCAACATTCTGGGATTAACTAAACTAGATAACCGTATTGGAGACTAACCAATTTTTCATCGAGAGAAATGCAAGTTAGAACTATTGTGAAGTACGATAGACGTCTGTACTGCATCCGGGTTTCCCTGCCGCACCTTATAATTGCTTCTGTTCAAGAGCGTGTGAAACATATCGAGACCGATTGCTTGGTTTTCCATTCCAGATAGACCAATGCATCATGTTCTGCACGCCATGATGATAGGTACCCCGAAACTTTGCTATCTAATTCCGTTAGTGCAAACGAACAAAGTTTATTTTTTAGACGGTCAGTGTTGGGCTTAGTCTATTCTGTTTTCCACAGGTACCAGGCACTATGACCTTAAGTGTGAAGTTCACTTCTTGGGGGATCGTTAATTCCCTGCCAGTAAAATGCACTTAAGTGCGATAGAAATCTTTGTGATGACCGACAAAGACGCAGCGAAACTGATCGGCGTTCCCTATGGGAAAATGCAGGCTAATGTGACAAGCCGTCGAATATGATCATTTTACTGACACTTATGTCAAGATAGGATGCAACAATATTATGGGAACATCTCGGCAATAAGTGAAACAGGACATTTCTGTGATCCGTGCTTTGCTTTCTGGTAGTTTGCGGTGATTCGCGACGGTGAACTCGACGACCATCTACGATCGACTGTTTGCTGTTAGTCTATCGACAGGCGTATGACGCTTTCATGTCTAGTGTCACATGAGAACAGTCAACCTGTCATTCTTTTTATTGTTTTTCGCAACAATGCGTGGTGGCAGCTTGTCGAGACAGTTGCATATTAGCACCTGACCCACCTCTATGCTCACAACCACGAATTCTCGCAGATCTCTTCAAAAAACGTGAACTCCTGACTAATGTTACCGAAAGTATAAAGCGTCAAAAGAGCAACCAGTAACAGAGCGCTTAAAATGGAGCTTGGATTAGCAGTTTCAATAAGAACCGAACACTGTGATGATACCCCATGCTGAAATGTAACAAGATAAGCCCGGGTAGTTTCTTCCACTCGACGTCAAAAGCAACATTGATTGCATTAAGTCAAAAGACATGTTTGTTGCGTGTATCACTCGGGGAAAGGGGTGTTCAGTAAGGAGAAAACGTTCAATCTGGGTCGATCGGGTAACCCCTATTGGTCCGATCTCAAGCACGAAGTAATCACATTCGATAGTTGGCATAGGGACAAACCGTCGATTCTAGTCTGAGGTGCATTTTTGCAGCTTGTCGGAATCACATGGCAACGGAGGATGATAGTCAAAATCCAATGGATTATACAAACATGGAGATAGCATCGTAAAACACACCTCCTGGCTAATCTTTCGTGGAATCCACATTTTGGCATGGTCCGCCCTCAATCCTGATCTTAGCCCTACTAAGAACCTTTAATTATGGTTGATCAGGTAGGTTTTATTGAAATGCCAAGGCTTTTGCTGAACG